GTTAAGTTCATTGATAATTATAGATATGAATATTGTCCTCCGCTGAGTTAAGTAAGCCTGGCCAAGGGTTCTCTTGGGGCCAACAATGGCTTTCAAGTGTCAGTCCCACCCAGGGTGTAGGCTCGGGGTGTGACAGGTCACTTTTGGGGCAGCCTAAGGAGGCTACTGCCTCCACCTCCACGAGTGTCACCATGACTCGTGGTGTCCACTACGGGTCGTGAGGACCCTCTTGGTCTTGGTGGACAGTAACTTGGCCAAAATGGACAACCTTGGCCCCTTGCCTTGGCCCTTGACCTTCTCCCTTGATGTTTACCCTCACGTTTTAGCTCTAGTTTAGCCTACTAGTTTTGGAGTGTTACAAAAATAAAGAATTTGTTTTAGTTAATAAGGCTAGGCATCTGTTTGTGTTGCATTTTTTATTCTTGTATGTTTTGTATCTGTGCCAAGAACATCTCAATAAAATTAGTAGTCTAACACCAAATTATAATAAGAGACCTTAAATATTTATATACATGCATAAAAATATTATTAATTTAGGGTTGAATTTTTTATTTTTACATACGACTTGTTTTTTTTAATTATATTTCAAAAGTCACTAAGCAGTTAACTTCACATAGTAATATTATTATTTATAAAAATATGAGCTAGTTGTAGTTATTAAGAGATATTTGGTTGGGTTGCCTTTTTTATTCTTATATGTTTTTGGATCTTTGCCAAGAATGTCTCAATAAAATTAGTAGCCTAACACCAAATTATAACAAAACGCCTTAAATATTTACACACGTGTATAAAAATTCACATAGTAATATTACTATTTATAAAACTAAGAACTAGTTGTAGGTAATAAGAAGTTAGACATTTGTTTGGGTTGCTTTTTTATTCTTATATCTTTTTGGATCTTTGTAATAAGAAGCCAAACATTTGTATTTGTATATCAAATCTCTCTCTCACTTTATACAAACACAAATTGTACATTGTATTTGTATAATTTGTTTTTGCATAAAGAGAGAGAGAAATGCAAAAGAGAACTAGGCAGGGGAAGATTTGTATCAGTATAATTATAAGTGTATAGGATGGAGAGATATGTATTTTTATTTGTATATATAGTCTGTCTCGCTTTATACAAATACAAAGACAATTAATACATTTTTGTTTGTATAAAAGTGAGGGAGGCGAGGGAGAGAATTGAGAGTGGCTAGCGAGATTCAGAGGAGAGAGGTGATAATGACAATGTGTTTGCTATGAATTAGAATTAAATGAAACTATATCTATAACATTTATTTTGAATTAATAGTTGCTATAATGTACAATTTTCCCTTTAATTATTCATGTGTTCAAACAAGAAGGGCTTTAGCATATTGTTATTTATGCATATTAGGTTACATGCCCAAATTCAAGAAAATCATTGCTTGGATTTTTGCTAAAAGTTTATAAATTTAATTATCTTATGAAAGTAAAAAAAAAACATGTAAGAACTATTTTTAGAAGTCTTGAAGAAACAGAGTATAGAAGGTTGGCTTTATAGACAACAGTGGTATAGGTTACTAATATATTTAAGGAGTTGGAATACACTTAGAGAAGCCTACCTCTATATACTGCAATGACAAGGTTACTATATATATAGTTTTTAACCACGTATTTCATGATAAAACAAAACATATAAAAATTGATTGTCACTTCATACAGAAAATGGTGTTTAATGTGTCGTGAACTCATAGCACATTTGACGCTCAAAACAAAGGATTAGTACAAGAAGTCGAGCTTGTTTATGTGGATATGATGTTTCTTTTGCTAAAGTGCAGGTAAAAATACTTGGAATGAATTGAAAGAAGGAAAGGAGTAAAAGTGAAGTTGCAAGTGAAAGAGACTACACATGTGTCTATACGAGCCGTGAAGTGTTGCATGAGCTGTGAAGATGCTCATGGAAGCGATCTAACAGAAAGGAAAGTGAAGTGTAACTAAACAAGGCTCCAGATAGGCCGTGGTACACTATACGAGCCGTACAGTGGCTCGTGAAGAAGGTGAAGTGAAGATAGACAATTTTTTGTCCAAGTGTTGGTTTAAAAAGGGGTTAAAGGATCGTGAACTTCCTCACAGACTGTCACCTTGCTCGTTAAGAGTGTCAACAACATTTGTCCTTCTTCGTGTAGGACTCTTTTCTATAACTATTTTAATTCCTTAGGGTTTAATTTTGAATGATTATCAAAACTCTAACATATCTTGAGTGAGGAGAAACGATAATTTCTGTTTTGAACACATTTTTTAGTCGAACATTTGGTGATCAAATTTTGTGATCTTGATTAAGTGTTGATAATCAAGAAACTTTTGGTTTTGCCATTATTGTAAGTCTATTTTGTTATGCTTTCAATAATCTCCACTGTTTGTTTCATTGAAAATATGAGTGGCTAAACACCACAACTAGGGTTGTGGGAACCATGACGAAAACATAACGACGGATTCAAACATGAATAACTTTTGATTGTTAACTGCATATGTTGTTTCATCTTATAATGAGTGCACCCATTAGAACATGCATGTTTTAATCATTTGTTTGAGAGAAAAGTGATGATTAAGAAAATCTTGAAACAACTTTCATCAGCTCGTTTTAAAGGTTAGAGCTCTCTAGAGAATAACCTTCTTAACAAGTATGCAAGGGTAAGATTTAGGACATTCTAAGACCAAGAGGAGAATAGTGAAAACTATCTAATAGGGCTGAAAAACGTTTAGATGTACCTAACATGCTATGAACATATAATGTTGAAAATAAATCATTCTTTGTATAGAATTTGAGTCGAAATTAAAAGGTCATGGGGAACACAATCCTAGTCTCGCTAAATCAACTACTACAAATTCCATTAACTCATTTTAAAGATTACAGCGTGAGAGAGGATTACATTCTTAACAAGTATGAAAGGATAAGATTAAAACTCTCTAAGTCCGAGAGGAGAAGAGTGAAAGCCATCTAATAGGGATGAAAAACATTTAGATGTAGCTAACTTGGTATGAACATATAATGTTGACAATAAATCTTTATTTGTATAGAATTCGAGTTGAAATTAAAAGGTTATGGGGAACACAATCCTAGTCTCGCTAAATTATCTATTACATTTTGGAACTATTGTTCGATGTTATTAGTATTCAAGTGTAACAACAATTGGTTACTTGAGTTCAAAACAACCCAATAGTTACTTTTTACAATTCACTTCTTTCGGAAATATTAACCATAACTTAATATAAGCGTCAATAAGTTTATTTCTGCCATAAATTTCTTGTGGGATTGACCTCAACTTTAGTTGAGTTCTATTATTAACTTCGACCATTTATACTTCTTAATTGAGGTGTAAGTTTGGACGTATCAGATTTTGTTGTGGCTGCCATGGAATTTTGGTTTAGAACTACTCTACTAGCTATTACTTCAATTGTAGTTGTATTTCCTAATTTTACTTCTTGTTTCTTGTCTTTGTCATTTACAAGTAAGTTAACTAGTGCATGCCAAATACCAGAAGTAAGAGAGAACCTTTGATTCCTTACGATACCGAGTTAAGCAAAACTATAGGGAAAATGGTGAATGCACATGAACTTGAAGCTTAGAGACAGAGGTTGAGACAAGATGTAGAGACTGTGACTAGAGGTGCCTAAAAAAATGCCAACGACACAAACTTTGTTAATGAGGAGAATGAAGGAATAGAAGAGATAGCCCCTCATCATCACCAACCACTAAATCCAAGAGGTCGAGTTCAACAATCGACATTTGAAGAAGATGATTTAGAGTTAGATAGAGTTCGGGCCACTGGAGCTATAATACTCCCAGCATTGCCACCAGGTGTGAAATTTACCATCACCAGCACCATGATTCAACTATTGAACCTAAAAGGGTTGTTCAGAGGAACTACTGGTGAGGATGCGAATTAACACTTGATGAATTCTGTTGCCATTTGCAAGTTGGCTGAGATTCCTAGAGTAGCCCAACTGCGATGAGACTGAGGTTGTTCCCACTGTCTCTAACTAGGGAAGCAACAAACTGGCTGAATGAGTTGCCACACAACTCAATTATAACTTGGGCAGAACTAAGAGGGGCCTTTATGAAGAGGTTTTACCCAGAGGCAAAAGCGATGCAAATAAGGGATGAAATAGGTTCTAACATGCAGCTATCCGGTGAAGCAATGCATGATATATGGTGGAGGTTTGGCCAAAAGTTAAAGAAGCGCCCAAATCATGGCCTCATCAATAGGCACTTAAAGCAGGTATTTTACATGTCACTATACTTTGTGATTAAACCGATTGTGGATGTAGTGTGCGGTGGATCATTCATGAGAAAATCATTTCCTGAGATTATAGTTGTCATGGATGAGGTATCAATGAACAACAGATCTTGGCACACAAGAGATGCAGAGATGGGAGATCTTGGGTTCACTTATGAACTCTCAGCTCAACAGAGAAAGTGAAATGAAAAACAAAGTTCAAACATGGCCCACATGAAAAACCAAATGGATATCATCGTGAAGCATCTCACTGCTAGTCTAGAAATGGTAAATGCATTATGTGCAACAAACAAGTATGAAGAACAGGATGTTGACTTTGATGAAGAGGCGAAGTATTTGAACTACCTGGGGGTTTCCAAAATTTTAACTCGGGCAACCAGAGTTGTAATTTTGGAAATCAAAGTAGGAACTATTAGTAAGATGGTCAATATGAAAGACTAGGGAACACAGAGCAAGGAAGTTAGAAAAACAAGGTAGGATACAAAGATGAGAGCAGTGGTGTGTATGTACCTCCAAGTAACCAAGATCGAATAGGTAATGGTTCTAGTAGGTCAAGGATGGAGGACATGTTAGCAAAGGTTCTACTGAGAGTTGAATCTACAATGTGGGAGTCAAAGAGTTGAGAAACGATTTCCCTTGCATGAGTCAACTTGTAGACTCACATTCAATTTCCATTAAGCAGTTGGAGCAGCAGATGGGGAAACTATCGGCTTCACTTAACCAAAGAAAAAATGGGACATGCCTAGTGATATGATTCAAAACCCAAAGAAAAATGAGCACTGCATGGCTATCACCATGAGAAGTGGTAAATCACTACTAAAACCTACACCTGCAAGCATTGAGCAGGAAGAAAGTATAGAAAGGAATGCTGAAAAAGAGGTAAATGTAGAAGTTTTGAATGATTCATAGATATCTATAAGAGTAGAGAGATTGCTAGGAGCCAAAGAAAGGGCACACATAACTAAATAATCTACAGTAGAGGCATCACCATCTTTACAGTAGATTCCTAGACCTCCTCATCCATTCCCTTAGAGGCTCAAGAAGAAATCCTAGTATGGAAAATTCATGAGACTCATATCCATGCTTTGGACACTACCAATAAATATTCCATTAGTAGAGGCTTTGGAACAAATGCCAGAATATGCTAAGTTTATGAAGTAATTGGTAACAAAGAACGGGACGACAAGTTTTGAACCAACAAATAATGTTCACAATTGTAGTGATATTGCTACAAGGTCCTTGGTGCAGAAGAAAGAGGACCCGAGTGCATTTACTATACCATGCACTATTGGTGCATTCGAGTTCACTAAAGCTCTGTGTGACCCGAGAGATATTATCAATCTCATGCCATTGACAATATACAAATATTTGAGGTAGGAGTCCCCAAAGCCTACTGTTATGAGATTGATGATGGTAGATAGATCAGTGAAGAGGCTCGTGGGCCTTTTTTGTGATGTGTTGGTCAAGGTGGAAAGTTTCATTTTTCCGATTGATTTTGTAATTCTAGATTGCAAGGTGGATTTTGAAGTTCCCATAATTTTGGGAAGGCCATATTTGGCTACTAGTAGAGCATTGGTTGATGTGGAGAGTGGGGAGCTAAAATTTTGGCTAAATAATGAAGAGGTCAAATTCAAAGTGTGTAAGTCGATGAAGCAACCACACGATATGAGTGTGCTGTCCGCGATTGATATAGTTGAAGAAAGGGTCACTGAATCATCTATAGAAGAAAGATTTACTGTAGAGACACTAGTTGCAGTAATAATGAACTTTGATGAGGTCTTTTGAGTCAATTATGTGGACACTCTAAATGCACATGAAGGCATGGGATCACATTCATATTCTCCTAATAATTTAGACTTGGATTTGAAAAATAGGACAAACCTACAACAAAACCATTTATTGAGGAACCACATGTGCTTGAATTGAAGCAGCTACCGGGTCATTTGAGGTATGTCTTTCTAGGTGAAAATAAGACTTTGCTAGTTATTATGGCTGCAAATCTTAATGTTGAACAAGTGCAAACATTGGTGACGGTGTTGAAAAGGTTCAAGAAAGCAATTGGTTGGACCATTGCTGACATAATTGGGATACCTCCAGGTATTTGCACTCACAAAATTCAAATGGAGGAAGATTGCAACCCAAGTATAGAGCACTAGAGGAGATTGCATCCACCAAGAGGAGGTAAAGAAGGAAATTATTAAATGGTTAGATGCAGTAGTGGTGTACCCTATTTCTGATAGCCATTGGGTGAGCCCAGTGAAGTGTGTGCCCAAGATAGGTGGAATAACTGTAGTGGCGAATGCAAAGAATGAGTTGATTCCGCAGAGGTCAGTTATCGATTGGCGAGTGTGCATGGATTACAGTAAATTGAACAAGTGGACCTTGGAAGACCATTTTCCAATGCCTTTCATGGACCAGATATTAGATAGGTTGGTAGGAAAAGGGTGGTATTACTTTTTGGATGGGTACTCTGGGTACAACCAGATTTCAATTGCACTAGAAGATCAGGAGAAAACCACTTTCGCATGCCCTTATGGTACTTTTGCGTTCAAACACATACCATTTGGATTATGTAATGCACTTGCTACATTTCAGCGGTGTATGATATCCATCTTTTCGGACATAGTTGTAGACACTTTGGAGGTATTTATGGATGTCTTCTCTGTGGTTGGTGACAATGTTGATGGTTGTTTGTTAAATCTTAGAAGGGCACTACAGATATGTGAAGAGGCGAACATAGTGCTAAACGGGAAAAAATGATATTTCATGGTCAAGAAAGGAATAGTTTTATGCCATAAAGTGTCCGAGAAAGGTTTGGAGATGGATAGAGCAAAGATTCAAGTGATTGAAAAGCTGCCTCCACTTATTTCTGTAAAGGGGATTCGTAACTGCTTAGGCCATGCAGGGTTCCATTGATGATTCATTAAGGACTTCTCTAAAATTGAACATTCTTTGTGTAAGTTGTTAGAGACGGAGATAAAGTTCACTTTTCATGAAGCATACACCAAAGCCTTTGAATGTCTTAAGGCAAAATTAATTTTAGCCCCAGTGATTATTCACTACTAAAAAAATAGCGTTTAGCGACGGAATATATTCCGTTGCTATATAACGACAGATTAACTACGGAATAAATATTTTGTCGCAATAATAATAAGTATTTTTTTTTATTCTATAGCGACGGAATGACGACAGATTGTATATTCCGTCACTATTTATTAGCGCGAAAAGTTGGCGCCTTAATATTTCCTACGAATTTAACAATAGAAGGGCTGCGACAAATTGAATTAATTTTGAACGACGGATTAGTAAGGGAAAATTCATCGTTACAAATTTTTGTATTTATTTATAAATTTTATATTTTGTAGCGACAGAAAAATCCGTCGTTAGTTTCCAGTCTAAATAAATCAAAGATGTTTGTTAGCGACGAAATTTATATGTGTCGTTAAATCCGTCGCAAAGTAAAATAAAAATTTAGGGATAAGTTAGGGCACACAAAAATTTCCTCTGAATTCTACTAACAAAAGATTTGAGCTTCCCCATTCTTCAAATACTCTACAAATAATTGCTCTTTCGCTCTCTTCAATGTGAGAAATCAATGAGTTTCTATCAATTTTAGAATTCAAAATCAAGTGAGTTGTACTAACTTTTGTATACTCTAATTTTGAGTTTATTTTTTGTATATTAAGATCTGTTCTATCGATTTGTGTTGATTTTGTTTGTGGGTTTTGGTAATCTTGAAATATGAGACAAGGGTTCTACTAAGAAAAATGATTTTTCCATAATCGAGTTACACTTTGCAATTAGGGTTTGTTTTAAGAGATTAGTGATATTATAAAAGATGTCAAAACCAAATCTTAACATAATCACTTTTTGTTGTTAGTAATCAACTGTGAATAAGACTACTTTTTTGTTGTTAGTAGTCACTTTTTCTATCTGGGTTTAGCTTGAACAACAACAAGATTCTGAGCATTATCAGGAATACATTTTGCTATGCTTGTTGGGTCTTTGAGTTCTATTTTTAACTTCTGTTTGTATTTTTCTATTTTGAAATTGTTAATTTGAAAAGTTTAGTATAGGCGTATAACTCGTTTTATGAGAATATATAGTGGTGTTTAAATTCTATTTTTTTTCTATTTTAGAAGGCCTTATTGCAGCTTATGAAAAATGTGTGGAGTTTTGTTTCTTCGTGAATGTGTTTGCTGCCTGTTTGTCCTAAGAACAGCTAACCAAGTAAGCTCTCTTTCTCTATCTTATTCTATTTCATTTTTCTTGGTTTGTCAAAGTCATGACTTAAAGAAAAAATGTTTATTTTTGATAGTCGATTAGTAATTTCGATATGTATTTGGTAGCTGATTCAATTATAATTTTTACGTATTGTCAAACATTGTCGAATTAGATACAAGTTAATGAAAATGGTTCAAGAAAGAGAGTTTTAGATAAGAATTAACATTATCAACTTAAAGAAGTTGTTCATAAACTAAACAAAAAATGATTTTCTATTCATACACATAATTAAAGAAATGAATAACAAAAAAATAAAAAATGACATCTATTGCCATCAACTTTTTTCTGCCACACACAAGGAAGTAAATCAAGAAGAGACTAGCAAAATTTTCATCCAATATTTTTATCTGTACCTAAATTTCTGCAGTAAGTCAATCAAATTTTGGTGTATCTAAAGATTTTTTCCTTGCTCCATATCAAATGAAAGATTTTTCTTGAGTTCTCGTTGTAATACTCTGCTGGATTAGATACAAGTGATTGAGATCTCTGATGGTTAATCAGATTAACATGTTTTTCACAAATCTTAGATTTAATGTAAAGTATGCAAAGTTCAATTTTTCATAGCTATTAAGTAACTGCTTGCTTTCTCTGCTCTACTTCTCTGTTTCTTTTCTTTGTGCTCCTCTATTTATGTAAAGAAATTCACCTGATCAACATACAATGATATTTAAGTTTGTATTTTTTTCTTTTCCATATGGTGTTATTATAGTTTGTGGAGAATATGTGGACCTTTGCATCTTCGTGAACGTGTTGCTGCTTATTTATCCTAAGAACAACTATATCAAGTTTACGTAAGTTCTACTTATCTCTCTTAGTTTGTTTAATATTTTGGGTTGTCCATCTTTATGTTTGATGAAACTTTCAGAAGGGTATTGATTGTGAGCAGACATGGGATAATTATGCTATGGTGGTTAATATTTCAAAATGTTATACACAGATTTTGTTGACGTTGCAATCTTTCAAGGTTCTCAAATCTCGTCTTGTTCCGCTAATTTCACTCGCCCTGCATCCTTCTCTTTTCGTCCACCTTTTCTCAACTTTTCAGCTCTTCGGTATGATTTTTATTTGGTACTCCATTATATTTACAATCGTAACACTAGAAATTAGTTACTAGCAAGAGAAATGAAATTCAAACCACTTTCTTGATTGTTTGCAGTAATATTTGTATTTATCTTTTTGGCATCACACTTTTTGTAACTTTACAATAATTAGAGTACAATACAACAGGTGTAGTACTTATTTTATGATCTAACTTTAGGCTTATAATTATCAAATGACTTGACATTTAATTAGCCTAAACTAGAATTAGTAGTAGAACAAATCATCATATCATTTATGTGTAGGGATTTAAGAGAGTACACTATTTTAAAATAACATTATAGTTGGGTCAAATAATACTAAACTAACTGGACAGTGATAAAAAAACATAAAGGAGCACTAATAAAGGTATTTCAGTATGAACCTTTCCTTGACATTGCACTTCCTGCAACTTATCATTTTCTTGTTATTGCACTTTTTGTAACTGAAGATTAATAGAATAATATATTTTAAGATAACTGGACAGTGATCAAGAACACTTCTTTTAATAGAAAAGGCGGCGAATGATTTAAAAAGTGCAAAGATATACTCTTTTTCATAAAGGTATTTTAATTTGATCTTTTCTTTGGAGGACATCCAGATTGTATAACTTATAAAAGAGAAATTTCTGATTGTCTTGATTATTCTAAAATTTATAGGAACATGAGTAATTTGAAGTGTGGTTGGATGTATGAGAGGTTGGATGGACGAGGGGGTATACTCTCCAGTTTTATAACCGGTGTGAATAACTTTATTCAATATGCATGTTCACAAAAAAATCGTATGAGTGGTGACAACATTAAATGTCCTTGTAAAAAATGTCATAACCTTAAATACATGGATGTTGAAATGGTTAAATATCACCTTTTTCAATACGGATTTGTTGAGAACTATTTTGTTTGGAAATATCAAGGAGAAGAAGATGTTATTGATGAGATGTATTATGTTAATGATTTGCATGGTGTAACTCAACCTGAATTGGGATATGATAATTCGTACCGACAAATGGTTTTGGATGTAGCTGGTCCAAACTTTGATCAAGGTTTGAGTCGACAATTTCAAAGCAATATTGAACATGAGTCATCTCATACTTATGAAACTTCAATGGAGGAGGAGATCAATCCTTCAATAGAGGAGGCGTCTGATCTTCCAATGGAGGAGGAGCCTAATCCTGGGTCTCAAAGATTTTATGATTTACTACATGCTGCTGATGCAAAATTGTATCCCGGTTCCTCCGTCTCTCAACTTGAAGTTGTCTCTAGGATGTTAAACATTAAAATTGAGAACAACATGTCACAGAGAGGTTACAACCAAATGATGCCATTGTTGAAAGATTCTTTACCTGAAGATAACATAGTGCTTGATAACTATTATCAAACAAAGAAATTGGTGCGTAGCTTAGGTTTGCCAGTTGAGAAGATTGATTGTTGTGAATCAGGATGTATGTTATATTGGGGCGATGATGAGAACCTTACATCTTGTAAATTTTGTGGCAATCAGAGGTATAAACGTCGTGTAGGCTCTCGTAAGCGGAAATTGGTCCCTTATAAGAAAATGTATTATTTTCCTTTGATTCCTAGATTAAAAAGATTATATGCATCTCATGCTACAACTGCTGATATGAGATGGCGTCATGAGCATACACAGGACGAAGGGGTAATGCGTCATCCATCAGACTCTGATGCTTGGAAACACTTCAATGAAACTCCTCTTCAACTAATGAAAATGCAGTGAAAAGACAATGGGAGATTAAGGCATCACTACGATATAGCGATTTTATTTCCAGAATAAAAAAGAACGGAACTAATCCCGGATATGTAACTGATATTGTGTGGGAAAATTGGATGAGGCTTTGGCAAGCTCCTGAGAATGTTGCAAAGTCAGAAACAAATAAAAAAAATCGTCGTGGAGGAAGAGAAGCTGCTGTCGGAACTCATACAGGTGGATCTATCTCTATTGGGGAGCATCGTAAGAAACTTGTAAGTATATATTTCACGCAATATATATTCTTCGACAAAATACATTTTCCTTATCTTCTAGTCATTACTAAAAGTCTATAGTACACAAATAGTAGAAGTGCCTTTTTTTTTTGTTCAATTATGTTTTGGGATTGTTGTTGCAGTGCATCTGTTTTGGTGCAACATACAATTGTTGTTGATGACACTTTCGATTTTAAACTCTTAATTGTACTCTTTCTGATAGTAAATTTGGACATAAGGCGAACAAAATCAAATAGATAAATTGACATATACTTTTGCCTGTTGTATAGGGTGATGGATGTCTTTAGCTAGAACTGTATGTTGGCTGGAAAAACATAAAAATGAAAGTCCTACATTATAATAGTTGGTTAGAGAAAATATAAAGTTACAGGGAAAAATGTATAGATTTGAACTTTACAT